TTCCTGTACTTTTTTAGGTTACTCAGTGTGGTGTTGTTGAACATATCATGAACTGGGTGAAATTCAAGGCACAGGTACTAATTCCAACCTTTAGTAGACTCCAGGTTGAATTCATTAAACATGTCATGGTTTAACAGCAGGGTTCTCTCTGGGAATAATCTTGTGTCCTTTGAGTGGATTCTTAGCTGATTTGAAGTGGTTACAGAAAAAACACGCTTTCTTAGTAATTGGCAAAATACCACTTAAAGAACAAGGTGAAAGAAATAACTTTCACAAAAAAAAATGCTCAAAATGTTACTCCTAATCTACAACATGGCTACTGGCACATGTATTAATTGTTCATGACACTTGTTAGCAAACTTTTCAAAGAATTTGAAAATGTCTGAATACATGCATCACCTCAGTTTGGATGCCCTCTTATCAAGAGGAGTCTTAATTGATAGCTTCTAACTGTTCTAACTTGTTTTTGTACCTTGTCAAGTATTTTTAAATTAAGATGTGCATTTATTTTTGGGGATTTCATTCTAGTCTCAACTCAACAAGAAGTGTCAAAAGAGCAAACACAGCAAGATTCGTGGAATTCCCAAATTGGATGATGCTAATGATGCTGGCAGTAGAAACTCAATGCAATGTACACTAATTCTCACTGAGGGTGACTCAGCCAAAACACTGGCTGTAAGTGGCTTGAGTGTAGTTGGTAGAGACCGTTTTGGAGTGTTTCCCTTGCGTGGTAAACTGCTTAATGTCAGGGATGCATCACACAAGCAGGTATGAAGTTCAAACTTCCAGTAGTTAGCCAGTGGAGAATTTGATTCATGCAGTTAAACCTCCTTAGCATACTCCCACTAACTTTAGGGAAAGCAAAGATGTGTTTGGCATAATTTGTTTTGAGCTGTTGTTACTGGATCCTGGAAAAATCAATTACATAAGTTTAAGACAAGAAGAGACCATTTGATCCCATTTGACTGATAATTCTTGGTGACAACCTTCAAAATTTTTATGTCTGTCAGTTCATAGAAGTCATCTGCTATGGTAATCCATGAATAGCTCACAATTTAGGTCAATCTGATCGAGGATAAAGGGGGTAAGTTTCTAAAGAAAGTGTGGTGCTGCATCAGTGGGAGAGTATAACAGGGTAATTTGATATTATCAACTGAGTTGATAATGTAAATTGGCTATTGTAAAGAGTTTCAATGGTAAAGTTTTGCTGTGACAAAGGGCTAAGGTTCAAAACATTAGTTTTGAAATTCTTTACAGTGGCCACTGTATGTTATTAACTCAGCTGATAATACCAAATTACCCTGATTGAGGATACCTTGTTAAAGTACCAGCTTTCCTTATTTAACCCAGAACTAAACCAGAATTTTTATTGTTTGACTTTAGATTCTTGAAAATGCTGAGATCAATAATCTTATCAAGATACTTGGCCTTCAATACAACAAGAAGTACTCATCTGAGGAAGACTTGAAGAGTCTAAGATATGGCCACCTTATGATAATGACAGATCAAGACCAAGATGGCTCTCACATCAAGGGACTCCTCATCAACTTCATCCATAGTAATTGGCCTACCCTTACACGCTTACCTTTCCTGGAGGAGTTTATTACTCCCATCGTTAAGGTTAGTGTTATTTTTAAGGTGTCATATGTAAGATAGGTAAGCTTTAAATGGGGGTGAGGGGAAGGTGGGGTATTAAGACTACACCAAGAGTTTACCTTAATCTTTAAGATGGAAACTGAAACTTCTAAGACCTGCCCAAAAGAGAGAGATTGATATCCACATATACAGAATTTTAGTTACACATTGTTTCAAATAAATAATTTGTGTCAGCTTGGCATAGCTAGCAGTGGCTTGTAAGAAAATGAATGGTGTAATCAAATTGAAAATACACAAATTTTACATCATTATCAAGGAAACTTTCATTGAAGTTATGGCAAGGGAGTATTTAAGTTACAACTAATATTTTTAAAACTGTCAGTTTAAGATTGTACCAATTTTCTTGCAATTGAGAAAGATTGCAAAGAAATGGTGGACTTAGTCCATGGCTGTTGCATTGCTTACAAATTTAAATGTAGTCTGTGCAAAATGTAGTAATTTCAGCTATAAAACCAATACGCGTGCACTCACCTGGACCTTTGTCAATATGTAGTATGGTGACCTTTAACCGCTTAAGATTAAGAGGTGGATGAAACACCTCCATGTATTATAAAAACAAAATTCTCATTACTCCAAGTTAAAGTCAGTTTATGTTTTTATTCAGGCATTTTTTAAATTCTATGCTCAGGTAATCAAAATTAGTACATAAAAATATGGATTCTCAGGCTTGATTATGAATCCTCTGGAGACATTTGGCAATAAAATTTTGCTTGTAGGTTGATTGTGTCTCTGATATTCAAATAGTGAGTGTAGTAATTCATCATCGATGCTAACAGCTCATCAAAATTTCAGGTCAGTAAAGGCAAAGAGGAGAAAGCATTCTACAGCATTCCTGAATATGAGGAATGGAAAAACAGCATGGTCAATGTCAAGTCTTGGAAAGTAAAATACTATAAAGGTTTGGGTACGAGCACTCCCAAGGAGGCCAAAGAATACTTTGCTGACATGAGACGTCATCAGATTCAGTTCCACCATGAAGGTGCACCATGTGATGAAGCTATACTTATGGTATGTACAGCTGTATCATATAAGTCATTGGCACTATGTGGGTGATATGACTATAGTTTTGGATACTGCAATATCTTTTTTTTTAAAATAATGTTTTCCTTCTTTGCTGGAGTATTGCATCTCTTTTGAGTTAATACAGCCAATGCTTGAAAACATCTGTCTAAGTGTAGAGTTGTGAGAAACTTTCATTTTCCCTTCTCCCTTAGAATTAAGTGTTCCCTTGCAGTGGGTAATAAGAAAGACAAGTTTATTTCATCAAAGCAGAGATATTGTGAATCAAATGTCACAGTAAAGGCAGTGATGAGTGAGGTAGCCAGGGAGCCTCTCAAAGAAACAAACAAAGTCTGCCAGCTGTTAGGCTCTCATAGATATATTCAATTCTGCATGCAAGACCAAAATAATCAACAAATCTACTAGTGTTGGTATTAATTCATGTTTTTACATGATTTATCTCATAATGACATGTGAAAGAATGTCAAAGGAACCAAGAAAATTATGTTCAACAAATGTTAATTAAAAACTATTTTAACCTGTAGTGGTATGAAATTGGCTTTGTTTGAAGGAAGAAAAACAACTGTGAATTGTAGACTGGATGTTTCTTTTAATCACAGGCATTCAGTAAGAAGAAAGTTAATGACAGGAAAGACTGGCTCAATCGTGCAATGGAAGATCGCAAGTGGAGAAGGCAACAAGGGCTTTCAGAGGTTGGTCAAACTTAGTTGTTTATTTGCATTCCTGGGATTTGTCCATAAGAGGTGTTGAACAACAAACTGAAATAAGTGATCAAATTTTGTTAGTGAAATCTGACCTAAAAGAGTGTAAACAAGAAGATTATACTATATTATTTAATGCCAGTAGCTTTTTTCTCATATCACTCAGTAAAAATCACCTAGTAACTGCTTTTCTTGTCTTTCTTTCCTACAGGTTTACTTATATGAGAAGGACACCAGGTCAGTTTCATATTCTGACTTTGTCAACAAAGAACTTGTTTTATTCTCCAATGCTGATAATGAACGATCAATCCCATGTTTGGTGGATGGTAAGCAAGATAATTGAATTTAGAAATAATGTCAAAAGGCATAACCAAATAACTGATAAGATTTTGTTTATGTGTATTTTATCAATAATTGTAATTATTTTTGAACAATGTCCTTCAGGTTTAAAGCCCGGTCAAAGAAAGGTACTCTTCACCTGCCTTAAAAGGAATGACAAAAGAGAAGTAAAAGTTGCTCAACTTGCTGGATCAGTTGCAGAACTGTCTGCATATCACCATGGCGAGGTATATAATTAATAATGGTAATAGGACCGAATGAAATCCAATTCAGTCTGTGATCATACGAGTAATTAAAAAAATAGGATGACTGCAAAGTGGGAGTCTGATTTGTTAAGCATGAGTATAATTACAGACAGAATTGAATAACACAAAGTCCTGTTACCAATTAATCAGAACTATGACAAGATTTGAGAAAGAAACTAGACATCAGTTATAAGTTTTCATTAAAAAAACAACAACAACAACAGCTAACTCAGGGGAATGTGAGAGAACAGTGCACGCACATGTTGTGTTCTGTTCACTTACTCAGGCATGATGTGTTAACTGTGCCTTTCACTGTCCTACTGCTGTCCAATTACAAACATGACATGTTCACTGTCCCATTAGAGCTCAACGTGGGCTGGTGATAACCAATAATGTTTGAGAATTTTCCCATAGTTTTAATGAAAGTCTATGACCTCTACTTGATGATTAAGTCCTCCAAACCAATCAGCTAGATTTGTCTACTTACATCTACATGTCCACTGCACAAAGTTATTTTAATTAAATTTGTGGTGATTCACCAACTGAATATTTACTGCTCTTCAAAATGGTGGATATTCTGCCACAGTATAATACAACTGATAAAAGTAACAATCAATAATAAGTGCAATATCATAGTTATTACATCATTCTTGGAGTTTCAAAAATGAAGTGGTAACCGATAACCTATTATTTACAGAATCTTCAAGCACTAATAGATAAAGGCAAATCCTTGGCAGAATTTTTTCCATCAATCAGTCAATTGTCAGAGTATACAAAGGATATCATTTTTGCAGCAATTATTGGAGATGAAAGCTGCAGATGCAAAGTTGTGCTTGAACATTTCAAATTTCTGTTGCATTTATTTCCTATTACAACTGTGACAAAATATCTTTCTCAATTCCTTTCTTGACAATGGCCCAACTATCCATTGGCTCATGTTAGGATACCACACTTGCAGGATTGTAGTTGAAAAATACATCAGAAGTAATATATTAAGTTAATTCTCCCCTCAGCTTTTATGCCCTGGTCTTATTTACATCTTCTTTACCCATTAAGGCAAGCCTGATGGGAACAATCATCAACTTAGCACAGAATTTTGTGGGCAGCAACAACTTGAATCTTCTGATGCCAGTTGGTCAGTTTGGCACTCGTCTCCATGGAGGCAAGGATGCTGCTAGTCCTCGTTACATCTTCACTATGATGAGTCCTTTAACAAAGCTATTGTTTCATGCTCATGACATGCCCAGCCTCACATACCTGTTTGACGATAACCAGCCTGTTGAACCTGAGTGGTATTGCCCTATAATTCCTTTAGTTCTAGTCAATGGGGCTGAGGGGATTGGCACTGGGTACAGCACCAAGGTGCCTAACTTTGATGTTCGGCAAATTATTAGTAATCTGAAGAAGATGATCAATGGAGAGGAACCAGAAGAGATGGTGAGCTCTTTATTCCCACTAAACTGTGATAGAAACTTCAGAGTTTCCAGATAAATCAAAATGTTGACATTTTTTGTTGTCAGAGTCAGAGAAATGATCAATTATGAAAGTGGAGTACCTTAGTTTTCAACAAAAAAGTAGCTTTTGGATTTAAAAAAGCATAACTTTAAATTTGTGGGCACGCTGTGATTACATGTAGTATTCCATTAGGCTTGCAGTGGTACTTTAGCTTTAAAGAAACTTCTCAATCACATTGTAAATTCACAATTGATGTGGAAAAAATTAGATATAGATTAAAATGGCAAATTTTGTATTGGTTTGTCTTTTGGCAGTTTTTGCCTTGGGCCTATTTACCTGCTCGCTTGTTCTGTTAAAATTTATTTTCCCGCTGAACATCTCAAGTAGAGAAATTTTTTTCCAGAGTTATAGGTGATATTGTAATGAACAGTGCCAGTGCTCCTTAAGGGGTGGTCTGGGAATCTTGATATGTACCTTTCTTAACATAGTGCAGAGGTACAAACCAGGGAATGTTTGTGTTATTGTTTTTCCTTTCAAATTTAAGATACCATCATTCAAGAACTTCACTGGTACCATTTCTCAAATTGATAGCCACAAATTCCTTGTGCAAGGCAATGTGGAAGTTGTTGACAACAAGACCATAGAAATATCTGAACTGCCAGTTGGCATCTGGACACAGGTTTACAAAGAAAATGTTTTGGAACCAATGCTCCATGGTTCAGAGAAAATTCCTCCAATTCTGACGTGAGTAGACAAGTGTTTGATTCAAACAAACCTATTTAAGCTATGTTTTAAAGAAAGAAGTACGGCACTCACCCTCAGCAGTACAAAAGTTGGTCTGTCTGATAGGTGAAACAATTCTAGTACAATAGATGCACTATAACAAGATTATGAAACTGGATTAACAAAGGGCAAAAAAGCAGCATCTCTGAGTTGCAGGGGCAGGACTTGTAGCATCTTTGAAGTCACAATGGTGGAGTGTTATTAACTCAGTTTGTTTATAAATTTACATCATAAGTGCTCATGTGTGAATTGTGAAAGATTAACTACTGAAATGATATAATGATGTGCATGTACTTATAAAATTGTGCAGTAATTGGGATTGTCTAGCATTTTCCACAGTTTAATTTATTTGTTCAATGACTTCCAGTGACTACACTTGGGAAATTGGTCCCATCCAATCTGATGACTTTTCTTTTTGGTACAGGGATTACAAGGAATACCACACAGATGTAACAGTGAAGTTTGTACTTAATATGGCTGAGGACAAGCTGGCTGAGGCAGAGGCAACTGGATTACACAAGAAATTTAAACTTGAAGCTTCAATTAACACCAGCAATATGGTGAGTTTAGCACTTATCCCAGCTAATATTTAATATTTGTAGTTATAGAAAATACAAGTTTTTCTATCTAAGTGCATTTTAGTCATTACAAAAATGTCCACACAGCAGATGTGTGACAGAGTTTGTGGCTCATCCATTTTTTTTTTATTACTGGAAATGTTTTATGGTGCTATATCAAATTTTGCAGCCATAGTTGATAGCCCTTCTAATGTCAGTTTTCTTGTGAGATGTATCCAACTAACTTTGATCTTTGGTGACAAAATAATGTCTTCTTCCAAGTGGAGGTGGTTAGTGTTGGATATTTACTAGGCTATGTATAAGTGAAATATCTACCACTGGCCACTGATACTGAGGTAAATAGTTTTAGTATATACAAAGACAGTGAGATTATACAGCAAAAAATGATGATTTTAACATATTTATTCCTGCAGCTATTACAACACTTTTGGGTTCAAATCCTCCGTGAGTTGCTAAAAGGTGAATAGCAAAGGATATGCAGAGTTTGAGTAGCCAATCAGAGCATGCCTTTAACACTATCCACTGTTTAAGTATTTTCTAATCACAGATAGTCCAGTTTAAGACATGGCTCAGTAATAAATTCAGCACAACCTCATTGGGTATAGGGAACTTCTGATTGAATCGATTTGAAATTATTTTTGTTTGCAATGTATTTCAGGTTTTGTTTGATGCCTTGGGTTGTCTGCGCAAGTATGAGTCGCCACTAGACATACTTAAGGAATTCTTTGAGCTTCGTTTGGAAAAATATGCTGTACGTAAAGCATGGTTAGATGGAATGCTGACTGCAGAATCAACCAAGCTCAGTAGTCAAGCTCGTTTTATCTTGGAGAAAATTGAAGGACAAATTATCATAGGTGAGGGTTCTATCATTGCTCACTATTTATTTATTTATTTATTTATAGTTTCCATTCAAATTTCCAATTATACTCCTGTAAATCTTGTGCAATTACATTGGAGGCACATTTATTTTGTTCATTTGCACCTGAATCAATGGCCGTTTTTGTGCTGGAGATGTTAAAGTTGTCTAAGACGTTAAAGTTGTCTCAAGACGACTTTGATGTCTCTAGCATAAATGCATCTAATGAGTTGATTATTGATGCATTGTTATTTGATCCATTGTTATGGAGGAGCTTATCAATTTCTTGACATCCTTAAGGAAACAAAGATTTAGGCAAAATGTGATACGATGGTGTAGGATTTTCCCTATACACTAATATGTGCTGGGGACACTATTTGGTTAGGAAAACAAGAGCAAAAGGAATGCAAAACAGCAAGAAGAATGAGTCATCTCAGATTTGCATTAGAACAATATTTGCACTGATTTAATTTAATCAAAAACTGACAAGGTCTGCAAAAATACTCTTGTAAAAATGAAATAACCCTTTGCCATCATTGTTCAGTTTTTTATCTTTTTTTTAACAGAGACTGCAATATCATCTTTTAGTGTAATAAGTTGTGCACAGAATAATTTGATATTTATCATGTGGTTTAGAACATTATTTACTGTGGATCCTGAACTTTTTCATCGGGAACCTTAACCTTTTTTTAAAAAGTCTGATGGAGCTCTGATGATAAAATGTTGGTGTTTAATTTGAATATGGAGTAAAAGATGGTGAAGTCTTCTGTGACTCATGAACGGGAACTTGTTGTTTCTAACAGAGAACAGAACCAAGCGCGACATAGTTACCACTTTGGTGCAGCATGGATACCCATCTGATCCTATCAAGGCTTGGAAAGACACACAAAAGTCCAGTGCACCTGATGAGGGAGATACAGATGATGCTTCCAGTGTGGCAAGTTCCACATCAAGCGCTGGTGGACCTGACTTTGGGTACTTGTTGTCCATGTCAATGCTGTCTCTCTCTCGAGAAAAGAAGGAAGAGCTATTAAAAGAGAAAGATAATAAGGTCAGTGGCAGTATTTATTTGGAGTTCAATTTTCTCCTTTGTTTAAAGTTTACTCTTCTATATTTTTGGTTTAGGTGACATACAGTGTGTGTGTGTATGATAATGATTTCAAAACAAAGCAAAATAAAGTTCAAACCAAGGATGAAAATGGCCAATGTTTGTATTTTGGAATTCAGCCTTAAGGGATGACCTCAGCACAAGCCTCTAGGGAAAAACAGGAGAGTGTTTAAGTGTTTTTAAGCAATGACTCATAGTCATGTCTTCTGTTTCGCATAGAATTTTGAAATATCAAAATTGTGAGGGGAGAGGGAAGAGGGAAGAGGAGGGCATTCAAAGGTTCCAGTTGTTTTGCAAAGGTGAAAAGGTGGTTAATACCTGTATCATAAGCGAAGGTCTCTGATGTCTTGGTAGACAAGAGAAATCCATGTAATCCTAATCAGATTCTTATTGCAACAGTTGCCTATGAGCCTGCCATTCTTGTTTAATAATCTTGTGCAACAATTTAGTTGGAGGAGCTGAACATATTAAGGAGGAAGTCACCACAAGACCTCTGGTTGGAAGATCTTGATAGCTTTTTTGAAGAGCTCGAGGTAAGGTCTTCATATCTTAACATAATTTACCGAGAACCTTACTTTTGTCACCAAGGAATATGAGGTGTCTTAAAATACTCTTGTAAACACAATTGACAAAAAGTTTGGGAGAAGTGTAGTTTAATTGAATAGAACTCAAGGAATGAAGATGGAATCTCCTCTAATGTCTTTTAATCCTATTCAAACTTATATTATGTGCATTTTTTGGAATGAAGGTAGTTTAGCCCACTCTAAATGACCAGAATATTGTTTCGTAACTTGTGTATAGAATAGGATGTTTTGGTGGCATTTCTATACAACCTGAGGGTGCTTATAGCATTTCCTGTATGTCATTTAACATTTGCCACTGATTACAGCGAGCTGAGCAACAGGAAAAGGAAGATCAAGAAATGTACGTAAAGTCCAAGGCAGGGCGCTCACAGCAGCAGAAAAAGAAACCATCAAAGCCAGCAAAGAAAACTGAAAATAAACCCAAGACGCTTGCTACAAATGAACAAGAAAAGAAAAACATGCAACATAAGAGCAAGGAAACAGCTCCAAAGAAAGAAAACAAGAGTGACGACTCCTGGGAGTTTGACGACATAGATGCAGGTCCTCCGGTGAGATCACTCGCTGACAGACTTGCTCAGCGACAGAGCCAGAAGTTGCCCATCTCGTTCACATCATCGTTAGCTGGCAGTGGTGCTGAGACAACCAGCAGTTCTGCTGCAAAGGGAAAAACGCAATCTTCGCTGGAGGTGTTCAGTTCAAAGAAGAAGGTTAGGAAAGCAGCAGAGAGTGATGACGATTTTATTATGGAGTTCAGCGATGAAGAGGATGGACCGCCTGTAGAGAAAAGGGCCGCTAGATCTCGTCCTGCTAAGGTTTGTGTAGTGATATACTGTTAAGTTAAATGTCGCTGGAACACGCTTCAGCGAAGTGTGCCAGTGTACCAATTGCAGTCAAGGGAGTAGCTTTGTGCCATTTGAAGGTTTTCAGGGTCGTTTGTTTGTTGTTTCAGATGTTCCCTCTTTCTTTACAAAGAGGGGTGTAGTATGCCCCTTGGGGTATTTTCCTTTCCTTTGCTATTTCTTTGTCTTAATGGGTGACTGGACTAGAAGCCAGTTTAGACGGAAATTGTTGACGAAATCGCCAAATGGGAACATTTACACCTGTCAAACTGCCTCCTTACCCAGAATATGTTGATGGAAAAACTACCGAAAAAGAGTTCGCCAGTGATCCATGGATTTGGCATTCTATTGATTCTTTTAGTTCAGTAAAATGATATAAAGAGTATAATGTTTTTGATTTTCTTTTCTTTTATTGCTTTGCTCTGTAGACGTACTCTTTTAGTTCTGACGATGATGATGATGATGATGATGATGATCTTACGGTCACGGCGGTGAAAACCGGAAAGCCATCTAAGGAAGGAAGTGTTGATAGCGATGCCGAATCAGATAAAAGTGACGTGCAAGCTACTCGTGCTCTGATTCAAAAGCTCTCCCCTGCTAAACCCGCAAAGACCACTAGTTCACGGGTAAGATTTTGCTGAATTGTCAAACATTTACTAAGCAGCTGACACCTTGGGGATCTTTTGAGTGAGCGGACAACCTCAGACCGTATAATTAACAATTGTTCCACGAGCGCACATTGGATAGAGATGATAGATAGCCAACGAGGCCCGTAGGGTTGAGTTGGCTATACTCAGCTCAAATCCGACAAGCGCGAGCGGAATTATTGTTATATTAAAAATGCCCCCAAATAAAGATAAATCTTCTCAACTTTATATAGGAAGCTCGTCACTGGAAAGTGGTATTCTGTAAGGCCCCTAGTCTTTAGTAATAGAAATAAATTATGTAACATGACTGAGTGAAAGTCAGTGCGTAATGCGGCAAACAGTATTTTTATAGTAACAACAGTGACGTGAAGAAAGATTGTCGCCTAACCAGGAACAGATGGCTGTAAGGCAAGCGTCATTCTCATTACTGATGGTCTTCTTCACTCTCGATTAAAAGATAGCTCGAGCCATCAAATTTTGCTAGGTGATTCTGCGCAGTGGTGGGATAATTTCCCATGCTCCAATGCCTGATAAACACCCTTGGGCGGGAGTTGACGTAACCTAATGGGACTGAACATCGATATCCCCAGACCTTTTATTATTCTCGATTGTGATTTAAGAAGACCATTAAAAGGGGTAGACTACAAGTCAATTAGCAATTTGAGATGTCTTGAATGAATGGATTTGATGCTTTGCAGCCAAATAAACCATTAAAGGGTGGTGAATCAATTAAATCTACGAAGAAACAACCAGCTAAGACCACTACAGCAGCAGAGAAGAAACGCACCGCGACTAAAAAGGCAGCTTCGTCTAAAACATCGTCACAGGACGACAGCCCTGATGGCGAAGTAGCTGCAAAGAAACAGCCAGCCAAGAAAGGCAAACGAGGAAAGGCAGTAATTTTTGATAGCAGTGACGAGGATTCTGATCCATCCATGCTCTCTTTAAAGAAACCTACAGCTGCTAAAGGAAAAGTGGTTAAGGTAAGTGTAAGAATACCAGATGTTCATTGATAAGCATCTTCCAAAGGTAGCGGTAATATGTATTTAGATTGCCAGGAAATCTCCAAAATGACCTCACTCGAAGAAATTCGTTTTTTTTCGCTAATCAAGAGACAGTGAAACATAGCATTATTTTCCGTCTCTGAATAGCTGTATGTTCACACCAAATGATTAGAACCAGAAGCAGAGAACTCCCCGCACTGGCTTCCATCCTTGGGTAAGTTCGGAAGCCAGGATTCATTGTTTCTAAAAGATGATATGAAATACAACGAAAAAGCCTTGAAGAGCGAAAAATATGCGGTCAGTAGTTCCTGATTCAGCGACAGTGACAGAGGAATACACGAGACTGAAAACAGGGAATGGAAGAGACTGAGATAACTATCAGAAGTTACGACACAGCTCATGTCTCCAAAAACTTCAGCCTCGCCTTTAGTAATGCCTTGTTATCTTTGTCATACAGCCTAAAAAGTCGCCACCGAAAAAGGCGAAAGCAAGCGTAGAAAGCTCCAGTGATGACGAACCACTGGAAAGTGCAGTTGTTAGCCGATCAGTTCGCACCGGCAGATCCAAAGCTCCTGTGAAGTATTTTGAGGAGGAAAGTGACAGTGATGACAAAGAGAATGAAGGCTCAAAGGAATGGTCCGGATCAGGAAGTGATTTTGATGATGATTAGTTTTTGTATGCCCCAGGCGGGCTCCTCATCTGTGTCTTTCAAGTGATACGATGGTGTATTGTAGTCTGACGAACTTGGTTTTGCTCAGCGTCTGTCTCCTATAAAAACGGTTTTTTCCGAAGGAGACAAATGAGAATGAAATCATCTCCTGCTTGCATGATTCCCCCACAGATGCACTTTTTATTGGCATCGTATCTGTAAATGATCTACTCATTACACTGAAAATTTTTGAAACACCATATAGAGATTCCTATTAAAACCAAGGTGAGAAGTTTACCTGACAACTCATTGTACACTTTGTGTTATCAATCCACTATCCCCTCCATTCTGGGGTTTCCTCTGCTGTATCGTATCATCCACGGAGATGCAGGGGCACAAGGATACTTCTGACTCCACCGCAGTCAGCCCAGTCAAAAACATTTTGAACAATTTTCTTCGTTTGTCTCCGAGCCAAAAGCATTACGGCAAACTAATCGATCACTTCTCTTTAAAACTAGACATGCAGTACTCGACTGATAATTTTCACTCTTCACATGAGTCTGATAGTGACTTCGGCTTAGGTCTCCGAACCGCCTAGGCGGGTCACCCTACCTATTATGTAAACGTGATCAAAACAAAATAAGAAATTATATTGACAAGCGGGTTACCTCACCTACCCGGGGTCCCCCACCTCCATGTAAACAGTCCCTTAGTGCCCTCTCTACAGTAAGTGCCCCACTTAGATTTGTTTTTGTTGATAAGCGCCCCTATTGCGTAAGCACCTTAATTCCCAAGAGAGCCCTTAGCGAATCAGCGCCCCTATTATGTTTCAGTGATGGCCCTATCAGAGTTCATGTACATTGGGATCAACCGTGGCTCAACTTCCTTAATTGCTCACTTAAAATCTCATTACATAACCAGTGGTGTCAACTTTTGTTACTTGTGATTTTCAAAATACCTCACTGCTGTTAAGTGAGTATTCACTGTTTATTATATGGAAATGTTGTCATGAGGTAAATCAGAGCTTTCTGATTGGTTCCTAGTTGGTCGTTATACCCTACAGACAGCGCATGCAGAGCGTTTTCAGGGAAACAGCCCTAAGAAGAGTATTTTTTACTTAAACCCTAGTTCACATTTATGATTTTCAAGTATTCACAGTTAATGATTTATTACTTCGCTTCTTACGGACCAACATGATTACCAGCTCCCAGTTAGCTTGTTAGCTCAGTTGGTAGAGTATTGCACCGGTGTCGCAGAGGTCATGGGTTCAAATCCCGTACAGACCTGAATTTTTTTCAGACTTTATGTTCACTACTGCTTGTAAAAGTAGTGTTCATTACGGCGAGATTGCTTCCATATTCATTTCTAAATTCGCCGTTTAAATATAAGATTTTCACATGTTTCTGGTCATCGTGAAGTTTTGTTCGAATGAGACTGCAAATTCAGTTTGATTCGAGTACTATACAATAAACTACTTTCTAACCTGCTTGTTCGAACCGTATCATTCCGTGTTATTGGCCCTCAGTCGTAGCGAGGTCCGCACTGCCACGACCTCAGGCCAATATTACCCAGTTCAACCCTTACGCTTAGGTAATAAGAAGTAATAAATAAGCCTCGCTTTGGAGAATGTTTGTGCTCTTTGATTTTCAGGATTCATACTTCGCGAAGTTTGATTCCTTTTGCTGTCTAAGCGATCTAGATGAAGCCGTATGTGGATGGTTTATTCCCCCTCACGAGCGAAGGCCAATGTGTTTACCTTGTTCTGTGCATAAGCAACTTTGATCTTTTTATACTTCAAACGTAACTGTTAGGAAAGGAGTTGACATTATCCTTCTCGATTTTCAAAGGGACATGGTAGGCTAGGCGGGGATCAATGTGTCGACCTTGTTCTGTGTAAAGGTGAGCTATCTTCCATACTTTCAAACGTACCTATTAGGAAAGAGAATGGTGTTGTCCTTTTCTATTTTGAAAGTGACATGGTACCCTTTACTATTCTTTAGATACTGTAATATGCCGTCCCATGGGCGTGCCAGTTACAACGAGAAAGGTCTTATGCCACTAGACTAGGGGAGCAAGGCGCACTTTTCTTCTACCTTTTCAACCCCATTCCCAGGGTCTCACTCCCTCATGTCCCTTAAGATATTACCTTAACCCTTTAACTCCCAGATCAAATTTGTAGTTTGTGTAGTTTGTAATAATTTGTATGCTTACTGTCAACTATACAATTCTTACAGTGTTATTTCAGGGAATTTAGTATCGGATCAACTGATTATCTCCAAATTGATATTTTTCTTTATTCTCATCACTTATTTGGTTGATAATTTGTATTGATATTGTAAGGAGAAATTCTGTCTTGATCACTCATGGGAGCTAAAGGGTTAAAGGTGAGGAAGGAGAGGAGATGGTGGTTGGGGGGAAGGGAAGAGAGAGAGACTCTTAGAAAGAGGTTGTAAAGGACTCGATTGGGAAAGAAGTTGCATGGGAGCTCAGATGGAACGATTCCATGCATGGTGAAACATCTTTGAAATCCCTTGCCACACTCTTCACAATAAAAAAATCCAGGAAGTAAGTTTGACACCAAACCTTTTTTGGAAATAATGAAATGAAAACCAAATTAATTTTTAAGGTACCATAATTTTAATTAACTTAATACAGAATGCCCTTTTAATAGTCAATGTTAAATGTCAACGTTGATACACCTCGACTATATCAAAAATAAACTGAGGGAAAAATAAGTAATGTTCCTCTATCATGCAATAATAATTATTTGATGGTACAAAGGGGACTTAAACTAATAACACTGTCAAAAGAATGAACCTAATTCACATTAGAAATGTATTTACTTTGGTTCAAAGTGATAAAATAAAACTATATTCATATCTCCTGAAAGCTTATTCAATTTCTAAATTTAACAAGCTCTTTATAAATTCTAAACATAACATTTTTGCACAGAATTGGATTTAATGGGAATGGAAAATAAATCCTTACTTATTGCTAAAGTGAATATGAAAGAAAATGCATTTAAAAATTAGCATAGCTGCTAATTTTTACAGTTGTTTATTTGGTTTTATGATCAACTCGCAAAAGGTAAGGTAAGAAATAAAACAATCCTTGAACAATCAGAGCATGGATTTCTCTACAACCACCAAAAGCAATTACCTAACTTGATGTACTTAAGAGCTGAAATATCTTCGTTTAGGAAAAATCTGCTTCAGCTGAAATTCTAATTTTGGCAATAACTACAGACATTTGAATAGTATGGTTGGGTTTACACACAAAACACTAGTTTCACCAATAACAAGGTGCATCGACTTGAAAATGTTCACTTTATACCAGGTCCCTGTTGTTTGAAGGTTAGATAATGCTATCCACCGGATAAATCTCTAAACAGTGGATAATGCTATCTGTTTTGCTATCACTTATCTGTTGGATAGTGATTTATCCCTTAGATAGCATCATCTGACATTTAAACAACTGGGCCCAGATGCCAGTTGCTTTTATACACTAAAATATGTTTTGCTATTACTTATCTGCTGGATAGTGATTTATCTATTGAATAGTGTTATCTTACACTTGTATAACTGAGCCCAGATGCTAGTTGCTTTTACACCCTAAAATAGCCTGCAATGTTTTTTCTTTAGATTTCTGTCACCATTTTGAGTCCACTTGTATGACCTACTCACAAAAAAGAATGAGTATAAAATCCCTGCTACTGATAAAAGGTTTTGTCCATATTTGACAGTAGCAGTTACAGGCCATACTTAGTTGAGTTAACTTTTAGTGATTATAGAAAATGGTACACAATCAAAATCTGGTGTGTCTCTTGATTTTTAGTTGAAGAGACAACCTCATGAAACATGAAATAACTAATTCAGATTGTTACATCCAAGTTTTCCAACAATTAGAAGACAAATTATAATGAATTGGACAGCAACATGCACCTTTTACATGCAAATCAAATTAATAAATCAATCACTGTAAATTAACTTTTGCTGAACATAACTAATTTACAAGTTAGTGAAAATTTTATCAGACCTGTATCTGTCAATAACAGTAGTACTTCCTTTCTTTATATTGATTTACCTCCTAAACAAAAAGTCCCAAACCCTTTTCACTTGGTGGTATGTAATTAATTTAAAATCAAGAGAACACTCTGGTCTGAAAAACCTTATTGTGTGATATTTTGGCTGACAACAGAGGCAGTCAACTTCTTTGTTTATTGACTGAAGACTTATTAAGGTTTACATCTACTGTTTAATGTTCATCTGCATTATATCCTTTCATTATATCCATCTTTCTCAAGTTATGCAGTATAAACACCTTTTAAAATGCTGCTGCGTCAGATACTCTTTTTCATGGAAGGAAAATGTAACCAAAAGCATTCACCATACTAAGATAATTTTACAAACTAGCTGCAGCACAATGTGGAAGAGACATATCTAAATCAGAAATAGCACAAAAAAGCTAAATAAAATGTCCATTTGAATACAATTTAACCCTTAAAATAATTATTTGAACTCCAAATCCTGCATAAAATGTACAGTTATGAAACCTCTCATAGACACAAAGCTGGAAACTCCCCAGCCATAGAGAATTTCACCATTTACTTAGTATATTACCTTTTAAAATTATTTTGACCCAATCAGACAATTGTAAATGTTTGTGACTTGTCCAAATCAGCACACAGTTATTAAAGATCACTGTACTGCCTTGCTGATGTTGGAGTTTTGTCAGTCATAGTCCATACCATTGGACGAATTAATACGTTTTGACGGAGGAGTAAGGTGTGTAGAAAGTTCTTCTGGTAGATCATCATCCTCTAACTTGATCTTTATCAAGTACATTGCCAAAGCAAACTCATCCTCATCAAGTTTCCCATCACGATCTATATCAGCCAGAGTCCAAATTTTACCTAATATATTGTTTTGTAGCTTAGATTTTGTCATCTCCTTCTTTGCAACAGCTCCACTAATCTTTCCACCTTGAGGATTCAAACTTCTGAAGATCTTGTCATATTCATGCTTAAATTCTTCCACCACCCAATCATCTGATCCAGCCCCCAAAGCAGCACCCTGGCAGGCTCCTGATGCAAAGGGGTTGTTGGTAGAATGAGAGACAGTAAATGCCCCTCCTCTCACAGAAGCATCAGATTCACTCTCACTCTCCAGGGGTATCATGGCCATCAGACGTGGAATTTCATTTGCCAGCATGCGGTCAAGGGCTTCTATCAGCTTGGTTTTCAAAGGAGAAAACTTTGAGAAGTCATACTTGCGCAACTGCTCTTTCATTTTTAGTACAGGAGGGAAATCCCCTGGGGATATGTTTTGTTCCCTTTGAATCTTCATGTAGACATCAGAAAGCTTGTTCAAAAGCTGCTCCTTCTTTTTATCCTTGCCAAACACTGCTGGCATTTGGTTTTTCAGCTCTGCTATAACATATGCATGAACCTAAAAACAGAGAAACCACCCCCCCCAAAAAAAGTCAGTGCTTAAAATTGAAGAAGTTCTCCAGCCTTAAAGATTACTACATGACACCTACATTTTGGAACCATTTTTCAGTCAAATCAAAGTACAAATCACATAATTATTTGCATATAGAAGCCATCCTCGCAGTTATGGATACTACTCAACTGGTAGTGAAAATAAGGCCTAAAAAAAATTCAGGCCCCAGTGGGATTTGAACCCATGACCTCTGCAATATTGGTGCAGTGCTCTTACCAACTGAGCTAACAAGCCAACTGGGGGCTGGTCATTATTTTGGTTCAAAATTAACCCTCCAAGTGGTGAAAACATGACTTTAAATGTATGATAATCATATATGTGTACTGCGGTTGAAGAAACAAATATAGAAGCAGTCCTCACAGTTATGAATACTACTTAACTAGTATTAAAAATAAGGCCTGTTGGCTTGTTAGCTCAGTTGGTAGGAGCGCTAGACTGGTATAGCAGAGGTCATGGGTTCAAATCCTGTATGGACCTGAATTTTTTTCAGGCCTTATTTTAACCACTAGTTAAGTAGTATTCATACCTGCATGGATCACCCCTATTTGTTTCTTCAACCACAGTGCACATATATGATTTTCATATATTGACAGTCATGTATACATCAATCTTCATTTTCTTATCCTATTAAATGAAAATTTTTAAATCATTGGTGATCCTTTCAATCTGTTGGCTCTCAGCATCAATTTGATCATGAACAACACTAGTCTTTGCTATAAATTGTATCTTTTTTCCAGCATATGAGAAAGCAACACAAAAAAATTATCAAATTTCAAGGCTTGTTAAGGTAATCAATAAAATTGCTGAAAAATGTGAGATAAAGAAGCCTTGTGCAGTAGATTTTTAAAGCTTTTGTCTCCAGAAAATTAAAAACAAAAGGAAATGGATGAATTATACTTCTTACAGATTTTGCATGAAGACAACAAGATGTCTGTAATAAAATCTTTAAACAAGGTAATTCAGAGTTGTAATTGAACTGTGTTTCATGCAATTTTGACCTGAAATCACACTTATAATTTTAAATTGAACTCCCTGCATACTTGATTTTAGACCAAATCACAATCCACTCAGTACAACTACCATTATAAATTATATGAACTTGGTATCTCATTAGAGAATACCCTGCAAAATATTATGTTTTCACAGGTCAAAATGATCAAGATTATTGTCTAAAACACTGAAATTTTAGGGGAGTAACACATTCTTTCTCTAATCATTTTCAGCATTACACGAAATGGCAAGATTTCCCTATAGCCACAGACTATTCTCAGATAAAGCCTTGGTCCCAAGGTAATCTCTTATTCTTCCCATTTCTCCTTTTATTAAAGACCTGCATTCAAAGTGAAGTATGAGTTCACATGGAAATTTTTCTCATGAATCGTTCGTTGCTCCGCACTGTTATATCTTGTTAGCGATTTATTTAAATACAGTGCATTGTACTTAGAGAGAGCTCAACTACTTAACTCCTCATTTGTAGTTTTCCAATTCTAAAATGAAAAACACTGTGCTTAAATGTAACACAGTAATCACTTTTTCCCTTCTTTTAGTTTGTCAAGCCCCAATAACTTTAACTCCTGACAACTCAAACCTTTTACAATTACCCTTAAGGAGTTGAGTTACTTGGAGTCGATTGTATGATCGAAAGTGATGAAAATCAATAAATTTTTGCAAACCTTAGCCAAACGGGCTCTCTTGATGAAGTCATTCAACTTCCTCAGTGCGGCATTTCTTGGAAGGGTTTGAATATCGTTGAACAGATCACTGGCTTCACACTCGAACAATTTTCGATTTTCATCAATTTGCAAAGGTTGGTCCCAGAAAGACCCGATATACACGCGTGCAACTTCAGGAGTGTTGATCACTTTCCCCAAGGACCACATGAGAGCTCCATACACCCGCATCAACTGTTGAGTCGTGACCATATCAGCTTTGTTGAGGACAATTCGAATCTTGTCATCGTAGTCGCGAAGAACTTCAATTCCACGTTGGAATTCGTCTGAAATGTCAAGTTTGTGCGCATCGAAAAGAAGAATTATCCGATCGCATCGTTCGGCAAACCATTTCAGAATTCCAGTGAAATCGTATCCTCGAGACACACTCTGCTTTTCGCCTGACAAAATACCAGGTGTATCTACGATTGAAATACTCTCAAGGACAGGGCTTGGAAGCTCAGAGCAGCAAAACCTATTCAGAAAGGCATTACCAAAAGAATCGAGAGTGCGGAAAGGTTTCGTGGGATCCACTATCAAAGCATTTCCGGGAATGACTTGGTCTTTCTCTCCATGCATCACCGCGATGAAACTATCCGTAGTAGGTTCTGGGCCTACGCGTATTCCAGGAAAATCTCGTTCAAGAAGGTAACGAATGAATGTTGTTTTGCCAGTAGAGTACTGCCCAACTAACAATACCATGGGTTTTGCCACGAAGTCAGGCTCAGTCATAGCGGGCGAGTGGAAATCATTGAAAAGGTAAGACTCTTCCAGTGGTTTCAGTTGCTTGAAATAAAGTTTCTTCAAGCCATCCACGACTGAGTTGAAAACTTGAGGGTTTCTTTGACCGTCGTTCTTTTTCATCCACGAAAACATGGCGAGGGATATTCGAAGAAAAAGATTATACTTTGTTGAATGTTATGCCACGAGGAGTATCTGTGATTTTGATTTGTTTTTCAGGTAAGTAACGTGTGAAAGAAAACGCCACCCAAACGCTCCCTTCCGCCGCGCATGCGTATTGTCGTCTGCGAGTCTAGCCGCTTGACTAATGACGTCACGAATCTATAATCAGAAACTGACTAATACCCCATTAACATGTTAGCAAAACATGTTAGGTTAACCGGATTTAACCGAACGAAAATCTGAAAAAAGAGAACTGAAAAACCAAATTTTCCATAAGATTCAAATAGTCACTAACTTGTATGTTCAATGTAACACTTTTGAAGTTGTCAAACACTGGCTAAAGTAGCCTCTATGAAGAAAAAAAAAGTGTTTAAGAAAACAGCCTTAGAACCTGTTAAAGGTATGGTTTCATGCTACTCTGATTTAAAGATTTAATGAATGCAACTAAGAAATTACAATTCATAGAAAACTTATGATAAGAGGGTAAGTCAGAGAACCAAAAGTTACTACAACAAGGAAATTATATTTTAAAGAATATATGTGTATGACCTGACAACAAGGATATAAATGTTTTCTAAAACGGTCAATTTATGTTGAAGGCTATGAATTGTAACTTATCAGTTACATTCATTAAATCTTTAAACCAGAGTGACATCAAACCATTTCTGATTGTCCACATGGTTGCTACATGAACTTTAGTATATTTTAACCGGGTAAAGCTTTGGTGTGAAAGGGGTATAATTCAATATTCCTACCAGACCACAAAGCACATGCTCAATCTTTTTAGAAAGGCTGTGCTAAACTATTACCCTTTAAATGCAAATTATCTTCACTTTTTGGTATTGTGTTGTCCTCCTTGAGAGTAAATAGGAACTAGTGAGAACAAGAAGAATCTTTGATCACCAAAGGATACTTCATCAGTAGAAACATACTTCATTCATTTTTGAATTTTCTTAGATAACTTCCTTTAACAAATAGGGCAGTAATCAAGAAAACAAACATAGCAATCACAATAAATTGACAGTTTTAGAAAACATTAATATCCTTGTTGTCAAGTCATATACACATATTCTTTAAAATATAATTTCCTTATTGTGGTAACTTTTGGTTCTCTGCCTTGCCCTCCTATCATAAGTTTGCAAGACTTCACCTGAAGCCTTGATAACAGGTATAAACAAGAGAAGAAATTTTGCACCCTAGATCCCATCCTTTACTATTGCCCTTTAGAAAGATCTTATGAAGAGAAGCCAACTTATGATTGGCTTAAACATAACCCACATAAAATCTGCAGCCACCTCTATACCTGCCCAGACACATAGAGGGCTCACAATAAACAAAAATTTAAAAAGTTACAAAGCCAAGATCATGTTGAGAAAGATATTCAGAGCCCTAGCATTGTTACACAGTTTATTGCAAATTTCTCACTGTCTTAAATAATACTAAGAAGATTTATAGCAAGATAGTTTTAATTCATGCCATCATGTGGAGGGATCTTGAAGCTTAGTCACCAAATGCTATATTAATACCAAAATGTATCCTAGCACTGTATTTCTTAAAATGTTACACAACGTCTTTTAGAAAGATGCAAATTTCAAAAAATCATCTCGTCAATCATTTAGCAGTTGCTAAAAATTTTTTGCCTCTAATTACAATTTTCAGTTTTCTACATCAAACGTTAAGTGGTCGTCCTAATCAGGCAACGGAATCAAGAAGATACAGTGCTTAGAACAAGTTCTAGATGGTACTTTGGATACTGAATAGACAACAATCGCTAATCCAGAACTTAAATTTGAAAAAGCTTCTTTAACAAATAACTCTTGCCACCAACTCTGAAGATTCCCCATAACTAATTCCCTTTAAAGTATTAAAATTATTTTGTGATTTAGGAAAAGTTTCTTTCGAATTGTATTTTTCTCACACTTATAAAGCATTTTAAATTGTGCTTATATTCCACTTCCTAATTAATAGAGTTTTTTAAAGAAAAACAAAAAAGTTTGTGCTATAGGTTTCTAATAATTGAAATATTGACAATAATTAGCTGATAATCAAAGCTTCAAGGAGACATGTCTCCTTGAGCTGAATGAAGAAGTTTCTTATTCCTAATAAATTTGGTAAAATCAAGGTCAAAAAATAATAAATAACAATAAAAAAGGAGGAGGAGGGGGAGGGGGGTAGGAGCTAGATATAAATGGAGCAAAAAAATTACTTTTGGTAAAAATTCTTCAATGCAAAAGAAAAACAAATCTGACCAAGGTGATTAAGGCTGGTGGCTAGTGAAACAATCTATTCATAGGAGACTGTGTTTTGCTTAATTCTTGTGACACATTAATAATAAAAATATCTGGCTATTGAATTTCCTCTTTGCGAAGTTCTTGTTCAAGTTGTTTGACCTCATCCAAAATATGCTGATGCTCCTCAAGAAGATCATTGTACTCTTTTATATGTTTCTCTCCAATTTTCTCAAACTCCTGTAAAGTTAATGAATAAAAAGACAAATGTGTACACAACTCATCACTACACAATGTTTCATGGTTATTGTAATTACGTAAGAGTCATTTTTTTGGTTCTTGCTGAAACAATATACATAACATTTCATTTTGTTTCAGTCTCAATTAATACAGCTGAACTTTTACAAGGGCTCTTGTTTGAAAACATAAATTGACTTGGCTATGAAATATTTTCCTGGTTACCCTTTATATTCCAGAAAATGCCCATGTTGAAACTCCCACAGCCTTACTTGTCATGGGTGTTTTTTTTTTGGCAAAAAATAATAGAAATGTTTTAACAATGGAGTTAGTAAGGTTGTGTACATTCTCTAGTTAATTAAATGCTAAGTTTTTCTCAAAAAGTAAATATTTAAGGGAGTGAACACAGATAGAGTGAATGGCATACATTTTGTGGCCAAGTATGCAACAGTATCACCATATCTGAAGAAAACATTACTATAGGCTTTTTAGAAGGTCCAAGTGAAAATGACACCCAATCTTTGGAAAATTGGATTAAAATAAATTGACAGACTGCTTGACTCTTTTGGCTCTACTTACTCATTCTGGTCACAACTAAGTGTTTGTAACAGAGAAAATTTCACACAGTGAGAAAGATATAGCCTGTAACTCACCTCAAGATGTTTTGCAGCTTGCCGTTCACTCTCAATGTCTAAAAAAAACATAATTGTTCCAAATTGAGGAAGCATGTTCCAGGCAAGAATCAACTAATGATATGATATTTGAAGTTCACAGGTCTATCAAATGTGATGGTCTCATGATTTTCCATGAACAAAAAGTACATCACATGGCAGATGATTACACTTGGAACTCTAATTGTTATTGAGACCTAGCTGTTCATTGAACACTCAAAAGTATTAATTTAACTGTGCCTTTTGTTTGACTGTAGAGTCACCCAATCTACCTGTACCAAGTGAATAAAGGGGGTAAGTTTCTTAAGAAACTGTGGTGTTGCATCGATGGGAGAGTATAGCAGGTAATTTAGTGTTAACAACTGAGTCAAAAACGGGCTAATGACGAAGGGCTAATGCTTGAAGTGTCAGCTTTTTTACCCTTTACATTGGCCAATTTACATTTTCAACTCAGTTGTTAACATTAAATTACTTACCTGTACCAAGGAATAGTATTGTACACTCCTCAGATTTTATCAGTAAAAGAGTTAAACCACAGTTTACAGTGAAATAAGATAACAAAATAATAACTTTTTTGGGCAAAAACAGAGGAACTACAAGTAGCAGGTACACTTCAGTGAATTCAATAAAATAGTTATAAAGTAAGAAGAAAAAGAACAGAGAAACACTCTAAGTTCCCCATCCAGAGAAAAAATTCCCACATATAAAATACTGCAAAAATGCTGCAAAAGTGCTGCAAAAATGCTGCAAAAATGCACTACCTTTAGTTAAATAAAACATTTTGCATGCCTACAGGTTATGTAAAAAATTTAACTATTTAACCAAGACAATAATATCAAAACATCTACCTCTTTTAGTATAATCATAAATTTCCACACCACCCTGTAGGCCTCCCTCTGTAGTAACACTTAGCCTAATTTCACTTGCCACCATTTCTTTATCAAGATTTTTGCTAGCAGCATCTTCTGTCTGATTTGAAGCTATCTTCTCTTCTCTTTGATTATTGGTTAAGCTTTCCTGAACTCCATGAGCAGAGTAATCCACTTCAGAGTCCACACTCTCAACTTCCAGTTTGTTTAACATGTCACTCCTTCCAACAACTAATGCTGGTGTTGCTGGTGTCTGACTGGGTGTGGTGCCTTTAAAAGGACTGGGGGAGACATATGGAGCAGGCATAGGATTGTGACCCACATTTTCTGTATTATTGCTGGACTTGTTTGTTAAAGTTACTGTGACAACACCTCTACTAGGTATACTATTCTTTGCTCCTGAGTGAGGAAGTTCAGGTATATTCATTGGATTAAAGTTTATGACTGCAGGTACTGCAGTATTACTGAGTGTAGAAGGCTGCCTCAGGACTGCCTGGGTATTCCTACTGCTATACATGTAAGGTACATGGTAAGTTTGCTGTTTTGTAATTGTTGTTAAACTGACATCTGATCTGACATATGGAAGAGGGATCAGAATTGGACGATCATTGTTCCTTCAACAAAAGAGAGAGAAAGTATGAGATAACTGAACAGAATAGCAAAATAAAAATTCAAAAAAAAAAAAAACAAACAAAAAATTTTGTCTGATTGGTTTCATAAGCCCTTGGATTTACTAGTTCTATGTTTATTTAATTTAGTCTGTAAAAATGATTAATGATTCAGAGCCACCTTAACCTTTGGACAATTTTGTGTGGCTCTTAGTATCAGCATGCAGTGCTTACTCTGTTATGGATAACAATTGTAAGATAAATATCTACAAATTTCAAGAATGCTTAGTCATGCTGACATGCATACCATGATGGAACTTTCTGAAACATTTTATTAGGTCAGGTAATAATAATGTAATGTTATCAAAATAGTGGTGTTGTACATGTAAGCTTCTGGAATGTTCAAGAATACTGTGTAAAGTTAATGTATATATGTATATAAGGACTCAGTTATGAAATACTAGTTAGTAGTAGTTGTTGGAAGTGAACGACTGTTTGGAAAGCTAATCAGAGAGAGCCATTGTTCATTTTAAGGAAATTTGGAGAAAACTGTGATATTGTGTCAGTGGTGAGCTAAGGTATAGACTGAAGTGGGCTTAAGCAGGTTTATTGAAGATAATTACTGTACTGACTTATGGATTTGTTCCCTATTAAGAATACTACAAATTATTTAAAAGAGTAGTTGAGTCTGTAGGATTGCAGTGTTCCTTCTATTGATTAAATTATACCATAAAAAATTCAAGTCCCACAATATGAAGTGAATATGGGCATTGCTCTCTTCCCTGGATAAGATACAGCTTAATTGCCAGCATTTTTTCAGGTTTCCCTCTTAGTAATTAATCATATTAATATTTGGGAATGCAATGTGAGAGTTAAGTGCTAGTGTTTCACGCAAGAAAATGATGAAAATAGCCAGAGCTGGACTCTTGTCCACTCAGACCACACTCAAGCTTCCTAATCATCATGCCACCATGTCTAACCCAATATCTACTCTTAATATCACTGTATATTAATATTCTTAACAAACTACTTTAACCTAACACTCACTCTTGCTTGTTTTCTATATCAGGAGCAGAACTAGATCCCTGTAATTCCCCATTCTTTGTCTCTCCCATATCATTTGTCTCAGCTGTATCTGTTTCCACTTTATATTTCAGATTTTTAGCAGCAGGTGCTTTCTTGGAGTACCGAGAAATCTGTGGTGTCCTTTAAAAATAATTATTCCCAGGTCAGCTTTGAATGTGATATGATATTCAGACAAAATAATATCTCCTTAACTTTGCAAGGATCTCCTTTCACTAATACACCAAAAGTACTTGACTCAGACATAATAACAATAAAGAGGTCTTGTGGTAGCTAAAAAACATCACTGAACAGAAAGAATCATCCTTATCTCTAACTTCAAATGAGCATTAGCTCACATACCCTCCTTTCAATAAAAATCACAATCTAAATTTGGAAAATAACCCCCTTCCACAAGGCTGAATTCTTCAGCCAAGTTTTAATCACTTCTGGTTAGAGTTAAGACCTCATAAAAACAACAAAAGGTAAGAAATACAGAAGGGAACAAATCAAATTAACTTAGTCTATTTATCTTTTAAACCATTATACATGCAATCAATCATCAGTCAGTTAAAAGTCAGACAGTTTTCTTACCTAAGCTGCACTGGTGCAGAAGTGTTAATGTACTGCACTAAACCCTTTTTGGTATCCCTTCGACTAGGATACATAAGACTGTGTAGAGACTCTATTCTTCCCTGTACAAGGTAACACAATAAACCAAAAAACTTTCAAATTGTATGCTGTAGAGCTTCAATGTTAACATTAATTTTAATTGACAGAAACATCCTTTAAGTTAGTACATGGAAATTTCAACAATTTCACTCTGCCACTTACAAGTAATATAACTCATTTTCACAAGCCACAGGAGGGGTGGCAAAGTCTTATATTCATGGAAGTGAAAAAATGTTGCTCACTTACATGACATACTCGTTGATAGACTTCCTCAAGCCCAGCAAGCTCTGCCTGAATGGTTTGGCTTTCAACATCAGATATAATTTTATTATTTTTGGAGTTAAGCTCTGCTGGAAGCACAAAGTTATCTTCAAGATCACTTTCCTGGGGCCTGTTTGGTGGATTGGAATAAACTGTTCTCCTGGAAAATATGAACCAACACCATGATAAGAAATTTCTTACTTGCTATACATAATCACCAAGATTACTATAAGACTAGTGATTTACCACAGAATTAAAAGATACTACAAACAATTTTATATCCTTACCAATTAAATCACCGAAGCCTTAGAAAGTACTAGCCTAGAGCAATAACCATTTTCCAACAATAACCATGGTTAATCAAAATAAATCTTCACCACCTGCTCTGATGGCTTCTTTTGTGCAGGCTACTGAACCTTCTTGTCAGAAATAATAACCCATATGGTGTTATACAATATTGTTCTAGTTACAGTAAGTTGATGCTTTGTTATGCACAGCTAGAATTGTACTGTGTTGATGCTGATTTTGACTGACTGCACAACTTGCAAATAATTCCTAGAAACTTTTGCTGTATATTTATAGGTTTTAAAAAGAATTCAGCACAGAATTGCTGAATAAGGTCAACATTCTATACTGTAGGGGAATGATAAACAGTAAAAAAACACAACTTATACTATAGTACTGTTGTATTAACAACTATTGTCCAGGTATTTGCAATCCACATGCTCTGATTTTAAAATCACAAATAAAGTAAACAAGTTCAACATACTTTATACGTCTTCCCCTCGGGACTTACCTTGTTGAATATCTCACATCATAGACCGGGGTAGTGACAGGAGAGGGAGTTGCTGGCTCTGTTGAATGGCATGCTCTCAAAATTCTCGGCTTAGCATGCTGTCACATATCATAACAAAACAAAAAAAAGACTTACTGTTAGTACTAATGCAATATTACATTCAAAGACATGTATTTCAAAGCATACAGGCTTCACTTTTAATGATTGACTGCAAATCAGGGCATGAAATAAGCAAAATGTGCTAAAGTTCATGAAAACTCTGAATGATTTCATCAGCACTGAACATAATTGTTTCTAACCTTAATTTGTGAAGCAGAAAATCCAGTCTTCTCTGCAGCCTTGGGTAATTTGAAAGGATCTGGTCTTCTCTTCTTTTTACCAATAATGAAACAAAATCAAGAAGCAAAATTAAAAGAGTGAATTAATAGAAGAGTTTAACCTAGTATGATTTTAGCTATCCAGAGTCCAGAAGAGAAAATCACAGAATGAATCCTGTTTAGAATGCTATGCCCACATTGTTACTAAATGTACAGTTGTATATTTCTAATACCACACAAGATAGTTAAAAAAATTGTATGATCCATAAGCAGTGCCTTACATATCGTTCATCTTCAGGTCTAGCTCTGATGCTACAGAACTGACCACGCCCCATGGCCAGAGGTGGAATTGTTCGGTGTGTTCTTCTAATCTGGCCAGGTGAAACTTCATCCTAAGATAATAGAAGACAATGAGATTTTAAAATATTTTCTGTTAGTGTTACTTTCATAGTGCTGTTATACTGTAATAAAGAACACCACAATAGAAAGTACAAATGCCAAATTTTTGGTGGTAAAAAGAAAAGCTTATCAAAACAAGAGAAGCTTGTGTTAATAGTACAGTATTTAGTCCCATAATGTTGGAAAGCTGGAGTCACTTGCTAACAACAGGATGATTGATGACTAGGATCATTTCACTAGATGAAATGTTCAAATGGTTATTCTTAAGTGCAGTTGCCATACATTTCTTATAATGTTCATGATAAAAGTAAAGAATCCAATCCTACCAACATGTTGGCCAACATGGCGGCCAACATGGCAGCCAACATGTCGGCCAACACACTACTGACACACTACCAACGTGTTGGCCAACACACTACCAACATGTTGGCCAACACACTACTGACGCATCAGCTGACACACTATAGACAAGTTGGTAGGATCGAATGCATAAGACCAGCTATGTAGGAAAAGAAATCTAAATCACCACCATTTTGAGAATGAAACACTAATACCTAGGTCATCTCCTAGTTCCTTTCTTTTTTTTCAAGGGTTGGATACCAAAGGAGTCAGCATGTTGCATGTTGGTAAGATCGACCAACGCGTTGGTAAGATTGACCGTATAAGAAAAGGAACTCTACATCGTTGCCATTTTGAGGACAAAACACTTCATAGTGTTGGAGGCAAGATCAACTTCGTAGGAAAAGAAATCTAACTCACCACCATTTTGAGAATGAAATATTAGTACCTAGGTCTTCTCCTGGGTTTTTTTTTTTTTAAGGGTACTTAACTGAGGAAGTTAGCATGTCGGCTGACACTGATCTCACCAACATGTTTACTTTTTGTTTATCAGCATGATTACAAAGCAAAAAATCTTTATTGATCACTGACTTTTGAATATGTGGTGGCTCCTAAGGAGCTGTTTTTAATTGCAGTTTTACTGCACTGGAAACTGTTTGGTAATGTCCTCAAGCAGCTGTCTTCCAAAGTTCCTGAACCAGGTGAACTCATCTAAATAGCTCAGTATGTACTCATACAAAGTACCACACATGCACCTCAACTTCTTCTTGATCAAGGCCCAAACGCCTTTGATGGTATTGGTGTGTGCACCACTGTCAGGCTCAACAAAGTTCTTGGAGTGATTCATCAATAGATGGATGTATCCTAGCTGATTGAGTGGTATGTACAGAGTGAATTGATCTGAGTAGATGGTAGTTCCAGGAAGGATGTGTGATAAGATAATGCACGTGTGTAGTTCTGCTGGGAACACGGAAGACCAGCACTTTCTGCTACCCTTGCTCCACAACCCCGAAAACACCCATGGACCTTCCGATACTCTCCCTCTCTTCTACTTACCCTTATCACCAAACTTGGACTCATCTATCTCCATGGTCTTTCTTAAACCTCCAAGTTTAATTTCAGCATTCAGGATCTTGTTGGAACAGATTGATCTCACTACCCACTTAGTAGGTTTTGAAAGGCTGGTAAGCCATGAGATTTTGCTCCCTGAAATCTGCATAGCCCATAAGAACATAAGATGTAGCAAGGTACTTAATGGAATGTTAGATCCCTCGATCTGTACTGCCTGTGGTCAAGCTGGTCACACTTGAATGCACTGTTTAGCTATGTGCAGCTCATGTAGTGGTGATAGTTATGAATGCAATTGTCAACAGGCACCAGCTGAGGCAGAAAATAGGAAAGAGAGCTGCAGAACAGCCAAAGTCTCCAGAAACTGAGCCAAACTATAAAGCCATTTGTAGGCAGCTGACACAAAAAAACCGGCAACTCGGGAAAGCCTACAAAACTATCAAGGCCCAGTATGATGAATTAAAAGAGAGCTGCCAAGACAAGGATGAGCAGCTAAATCAGGCCCAGCAAGATGCTGACGAGATGGCAGTAAAGTGAGGAGCATGTTGCTGCCTACAAAGAGGAGATTAAGGAAAAGGATAAGCAGATTAATGCCCTTGAACGCAGCTCCGAGCATTGCAGAATCCTGAGGTACCATAAACTGCAAACCAAGAGGCTTCTCGAAGGTGCACCAAAACAACCCAGCTGAAATTCATTGATGCTACGCAGCTATGCTGTCCACCCTCCAGGAGAAGAAGTGCAGCCTAAATAATGCCTATAGACTGGCAGGAACAGCATGTAACACTATTAGGGACTTCCTGGGTATCGCAAAGCAGAGAATTGTCAATCAGGTGACATTTCAAAGCACCTTGGAGAGGCTAGGGAACCCCTAGCTAGCCAAAAAAACCATTGAGCAGGAATGTTGGAAGCAGCTGGGTGGACTCCTTCCAGTTGTTAAAAGACTTCACCTCACAAAGAAGCTGTTGCTGCTGGCACTGGATGATGCCTTCTATTCGTAGAGGGTTTTGTCACCGAAAAAACCAGCTCCTTTAGCTCCTGGGTTCCAATAACATGACAAACAAGATGGTGGCCAAAAGGACATAATTCATTTTCATATCGTGAGTGAAAGTTTTCCAAAGAAGATGTTACAGATAAGTGTGGAAAAGGAAGGTTTAGCATTGCTTTGCATAAATAAGGCCCAAACAAAGTCAGTGACACACCAGTGACGCACCACTGACACACCACCAACACATCTTATATATTAGAAGGATAAATGGTAGCCAGCATGTCAGCTGACAGTCGGTCAACAGTGAGCTGATTCGTCGGTAGGAACAGATTCTTTACCTCTACCTTTACCTATTACATAACATCTCTCAAAGGAGATATGTATGTTTTCATTTTTGCCATTGTCTGCTTGATGGTGCAAATATATTGAAGGGAGAAAATACTTATTAGTCAGTCCTGGAACTAAATGAGTTCACCACAGATTATTTGAAAACCTACCAAGCTGACATAGTGCTTCACAGCTGATGTTGACTGTTGGTAGGGAACTACAGCTTGCACCAGACCCTTTGGTGGAAAACCATTTGCAAAGTGTACTTGTCTTGTAACACTACTTGTGTTGCTGTTCCTCATCATTATTCTTGAGTCACAAACATTAAAGCTTCCTGTAGGTTTGTCGTCATAGTTTAAAGATTATGCTGTATGAGTTTTTTCCCAACCTTAAAGAGAACTATGGCAAAGATTAGGCAGTGTAGATGAACTATAAAACTTTGTAACATCATCATAATGACCAGGTACATCTTAAAGGTTAAAGGTTAAAAAAAAGAGGAAAACAGACAAAGTGATTGGACAAAGCCATTGTAAATTCAATATGTACCTGTATCTATGGTTAAAACTCAGCCTACCAATTACCTCTTACTAACCTAGTTCAAGGTCTGTTCTGTATGTTACTGACTAGTTTTTTTTTTCACTCAAATTATGGCCCAAGCACCAAGCACTCAAGCCATAAATCTGTGCAGATAAAACTATGTTCCACAACTTACTGTACAAACTGAGAAAAGGATAGTAAGATATTTTTAATATCTCTGAGTTTAGACACAGTGGGAAATTTTCAATTCAAACAAACTTTGAATTTACTAAGCCATAGAGTACAATACTGCCTTCTAAATTGATGAACCATAGCAGATGTACTAACAGAGAGATACAACAATAACCATTATACATTGTAATCCATCAAATATTTTTGCTTGTGTGACATTGGTCTAGATGCATCACATTTGATTGACTGTACCCCTGCTCAAACTAAGGAATATTGGTTATACCCTTGGTGATATTCACCAATTTTCAAACCTTGTGACAACTATGATAAAAGCATTCATTAAAATTTATTTTAAGATGAGAGAGCATTTACCTATTGATGCAAAAGAAGGGACATGTCTGTTTGTTCATAGGGTTCTACCAGAGAACGCAAAAGCAAACATCTCACATGTAGCAAACAGTTCATAAACATTTTACCAGTGTGTTGCAAAAATACTGGAGGATACTAAAAACAATAGCTTCCATTTGGTGCAAAAATATGCCTATATATTTGTTCTTAGACATTATCTGTTCCTCGAAGCTCACAGTTTTCCTTGAGCTTTGCTTTCAGAAAACTGTTTGCACTTTGAAACACATCATGTCCGTGGACAAATAAACTAGCACATTTTTGTGTCAAATGAAGGCTCCTGTTTAATTATTTATTTACTTTTCATTGTGTTAAACTCCATGTATGATTACAGTTATGTAGAAACTCAAAAGAAAGAATGAGTGAGAAGTCATGGATGGGGAATAAAAGATCAAGAATACAGAGCCGCAAACTAAAATGTCAAGTTAAATGAGAAGTCAATATTCAGACAAGGCTGAGATGGGTAACAGGAATGTAATACATCTGTGTTCAATTGAGTTTGACTATCAAATAAAAGCAAACAGCTCTTCTTTTCAAATTGAGCCAGAGCAAACCAATAAGCAAACTAAAAACAAAACCCAGAAAATAAGTTTGTTTGATATCTGCCATTATTTTGCTGAAAAAATTAAAATTCACCACAAAAGCAACTTTCTCCCCATCCTAAGAGAACATATTGAGCTTTTAACAAGCTGTAACTTTGGCCTGGAAGTTAAATCCTTTGTCACTGATAGTTTTATTGTCGCCTTTATCTGTTCATTCGGACGAAGGACCAATGTTTTAAATGTCAGCTTAAGTAACTCTTTACGATGGCCAATTCACTATCATTTATCAATTCAGTTGATAAAACTAAACTATCTCTCCCCCCCCTCCCACCGACGCAGCAGCACAGTTTCTGTAGAAACTTATCTCTTTCCATTTGCCATCATTAATAGCCAAGTTATTTCGATACTCACGCAAAATAGAGCCCAAAAGGAGTAACAATCCAGAATTACGCTTAATTACTGAATGTCTGATTTGGGTAAAATTGTGTATTGTTTCCTGAACTCCTAATTAAAACAATACGTACGAGGTTCCAACCTATGTTTTTAGCACTAATTTTGCGTTCAAACCACATAAAATCAAAGCTAGCTGACTGAAGCTGACTATGTATATGCGTATATACACGGTGGGTGAGCAGTACAGCACATTCAATTGCTTGAAAAGACTTACATACCATCTGTCATTGTTCTTGTCACCAAATGAACACTTGGAAACGGCCCGCGGAGATCATGTCAACAAACACATTTTTTACTGTGGCCGTCCTCTCAGAAAGCAACATTGCTCTCTCTTGACTTATACCTTTCCTTTCTTACTAATAAAACTGTGTTTTTTTGTCTATGCGTCCTCTAGTTCGAGGAGATCGATAAGTTTAATGAGTTCAAAAGATTAAGTCCTTGACTTCGCGATCTTCGATGTGGAGCAATGCAAATAAGTTTCCACGTGACGTCAAAATTGCTGAAAATCTTGCGCCAGCGGTAACAAAATATGCGGTAGTGCTCAGAATTTCTTACTAACTCGTTTAAAATTATCACGAAATTTTCGTGAACGTGCTTTCATCGTCTGCATGGCGGGAGTCTCGATCCGCAAAGTTTGGTGATGGAAATATTGCGGAAGAGCTTTCACGAATCGCTCTCTGTTGTCTCAGAAGCAATCGATTCCGCGTCGTTCCTTGCGATTGACGCCGAATTTTCGGGGCTAAATGTGAAGTGGGGAGTTCAAAATTCATTTGATACTCCGCAGGAGCGTTACTTAAAACTGAAGGAAGGATCTAAAGACTTTATCATAATTCAGTTCGGTTTATGTACCTTTGCTTGGGACAACAAGCTAGAGCTGTTTATTGCAAAGCCTTTTAATTTTTACATATTTCCCAAGGTGTGGAATCGACAGTGCCCTGATGTCCGTTTTCTGTGTCAAAGTTCTAGTATCGATTTTCTTACAGAACACAACTTCGACTTCAATAAACTTTTTTATGAAGGAATCTCCTATTTACGGCCTCATGACGAGCAGAAATTGAGAGACCATTTCATATCAAGAAACACACAAGATTCGTTTACATCGACGTCTCTTACTTCCCCCGACTCCACTTCTGAAGCTAACAGGGGATCCTCGCAGAAGGCGCTAAAGATAGTCCCCCCGGAACACCGTGACTTTGTGGAGAGAGCATGCGAAAGTATACAAGAAATGCTTAAAGATCCAGAGGGGAAGATCACTCAGGTTCCACCATGCAACGGTTACTTAAGGAAGCTGATCTACCAAACTGCCAAACAGAGGTTTAAGGCAGGTATTCATATGGAGGCTGCAATGAACGAAAATAAAGAACGTTTTATTGTAATAACTAAAGTCAATGAAGACGAAAAAAAGAAACTTGAAGATGAAAAACAGGCCAAAGAAGACGAACTGATTGAAAATGCTGTGGGATTTTCACAAGTTGTGAAAATGATATCACAGTCTGGCAAAGTGATGGTGGGCCACAATATGTTTCTTGATTTGATTCATACAATTGATCAGTTTTTGTGCCCACTTCCAGAATACCTTGAAGATTTTAAAGGAACCATAAGTGCAGTATTCCCGAAGCTTGTTGACACGAAAGTCATGGCTAACACGCAACCTTTCAGAGATCTCATTCCATCATCAGTACTGGCAGATCTTGCAAAGCATGTCTCAAACAAGCCATTCCAAAAGGCTGCAGTAAAATTTGATGAAAAGTTTTCTCGCTATGGTGAAAGTGATGAGAAACCTCATGAAGCTGCCTATGATGCTTACATCACAGGGCTTTCATTTATTTCTATGGCCAACTATCTTGGTTCTTTTCAAGAACCTCCAAGGGTCAATGTCTCACCAGATTCCTCCTTAGTTGCTCCATTTTTAAACAAAATTTTTGTGATGAGAATGGAGGATATTCCTTATCTCAACTTGGCTGGCCCTGACTTGAGTCCATCCCGTGATCATGTGTTTTATTTGACATTTCCAAGTGAATGGAAACAAGGAGACATTCTTGATTTGTTCAATGACTTTGGATTTGTCTATATCTCATGGATCAATAGCACCTCTGCCTTTGTCTCACTTGCTAGAAGGGAAAATGCTCACCAAGTTCTTGATAAACTGGATTTTGAAGGGGAGAGTTATACAATAGTTTCTTATGCTGAGCATACAAAGCAACTTGAGGCTATGTACGGGGAAAGCATCGAATACAAGAGAGAAACTCCTCTAAAGAGACGTAGAGAAATGGAAATGAGTGCATACAAAACTTCATCACCCCTGGAAGTACAGGCAAATAAAAGCAAGGAAAGTCCAAGCAGTGAACTAGAAGATGGAGAGATAGTGGATGATGAAGAATCTCCAGAACCTGCTAAAAAGAAAATGAAGAAGGATGACAGGGTATTTGAAGAACCAGAGGAGTGGTAATGCCACAATGGAACAGTTCCAGAAAATTACACATTGACTGTAACAGTTTGCTTAGCAAGCTACATGTAGTCACTTTGTAACTTCAGTATTCTTTTTGCAGCACCCCTAAATGTGTTTCATTGCAGTATTTTAAGTTTTGGTGACAGAAATGTAAAAAGTAGCAGGCATAATAATGCATTTCCAAATAACTTTCTAAATAGTGAGTTCTATTCAGTATCACTTCAGCACATTTTATTTAATTGACATCCTTTTTTTTCAGTAGAAAATTAATCTTCCTGAAGATGATGATTGTTAAATATGGTTCACTTAAAATGCACATGTGAACTAAGGGAAAATGATTTGTTGTGAAGGAGTACAATTAAAACAAAAGTTGAAAATCAAGTAAGGTTATTCTTGTCAACTTAATTAAAGGAAAAATGATACTCATACTTAAAGTGTAATTGTTTTCATGACAAAACACTTGAATCTAGTTCTTAACAGCCTTTACTTAAAGTTAAATGGCTCTCAGACTAGCAGTTCAACATTCAATAAATATTAAGCAACAATTGTTACTAGCCAGTCAAAATGATTTTAACTGAGAATGTTAACAATCAATCAAAATAAAGTACAAAATTGGTGCAAACAGGTTCTTGAGCTTCAGATATGAGGCAGAAAAAGTGAAAAAAAAGAAAAAAAATCCCCAACAGGTGAGAACACAATTTTCCTCTAGTAATTTAACAACAAATTTAATGTGCCATTGATTTGGAAACTGAGAAAATGACACAGGAGTTTAAGTTCACATTTCAAGAAATGAACATCTTAACAAACAATACCTCTGCAGTTTTGGAGCACACTAGCGAAACGGGGCATATTCCTATTTGGAGCAAGGTTAAGTTTATTGATCATGACCCCCACTAGTACACATGTAAGGTCAAAGAGGCCATCCATGTAAGACTTCATCCCAATGACATCAATAGGGATAGCAGAATTGACAGTCCTGAAGCTTGGATACCCATGATCAAACAACTCAGCTAATTTATGAGGAACTATGGGGGAACACCATCTAACAACTGGAATAATAACAAGGATTGGAATGCACCAATAGCAGCATACCAACATGCTAGAAATAGCAAAACATAAACAATCGACCTCATCGCCTGATGAAGACTAGCAGTACTGCAGTCAAAAACATCACAATCTATATCAAAAGCGACCCTCAAGAGACAAACAAACAAAGTTCATCTCCCATCTTACACAACGATGAACAATAAGCACATATTTTATAACAGAAATTTTAAGGACTAAATTTAACTGGTTGTGAAGCCAAAGAGGAATTACTGGTAAATGAAGAGCTTTTCTTGAACCTCACCCTGATGTAACTCTGCAGTGCGAGAATATCATTAAATTTCCTTGATTTTATTCTGCTGAAAAAACTACAACTTCAACAAATGTTCCATTGGTCGACACAAAACAATTCTGTTGTTTTAGCAATTGTTTA